AAAAATTTAAAATGAAATTTAAAATAAAATTTAAAATGAAATTAAAAAGAAAATTAAAATTAAAATTAAAATTAAATTTAAAAAGAAATTAAAAAGAAAATTGAAAATTAAATTTAAAAAAGAAATTTAAAATAAAATTGAAAATTAAATTTAAAAAAGAAAATTACAAAGAAAATTGAAAATTAAATTTAAAAAAAATTTAAAAGAAAATTGAAAAGAAAATTTAAAAAAGAAAATTAAAAAGAAAATTGAAAATTAAATTTAAAAAAGAAATTGAAAAGAAAATTGAAAAGAAAATTTAAAAAATAAAATTAAAAAGAAAATTAAAATTAAATTTAAAAAAGAAAATTAAAAATTTAAAATGAAATTAAAAATAAATTTAAAAATAAATTTAAAAATAAAATGAAAAATAAAATGAAAAAGAAAATTAAAAAGAAAATTAAAATTAAAATTAAAAATTTAAAATGAAATTTAAAATGAAATTTAAAATGAAATTAAAAATTTAAAATGAAATTTAAAATGAAATTAAAAATAAAATTAAAAATTAAATTTAAAAAAGAAAATTAAAAAGAAAATTAAAAATTTAAAATGAAATTATAAATTCCATAAAAATAAAATTAAAAATAAAATTAAAAAATAAAATTAAAATTAAAAACTTAAAATGAAATTTAAAATGAAATTTAAAATGAAATTTAAAAGAAAATTAAGAATTTAAAATGAAATTTAAAATGAAATTTAAAATAAAATTAAAAATTTAAAATGAAATTTAAAATTAAATTTAAAATGAAATTAAAAATAAAATTAAAAATTTAAAATAAAATTATAAATTCCATAAAATTAAAATTAAAAATAAAATTAAAAAATAAAATTAAAATTTAAAATTTAAAATGAAATTTAAAATGAAATTTAAAATGAAATTAAAAAGAAAATTAAGAATTTAAAATGAAATTTAAAATGAAATTAAATATAAAATTAAAAATGAAATTAAAAATTAAAATTATAAATAAAATTAAAAATTTACAATGAAATTTAAAATGAAATTAAAAATAAAATTGAAAATAAAATTTAAAAAAGAAAATTTAAAAGAAAATTTAAAATTTAAAATGAAATTTAAAATTAAATTTAAAATGAAATTAAAAAGAAAATTAAAAATTTAAAATGAAATTATAAATACCATAAAAATAAAATTAAAAATAAAAGTTAAAAATAAAATTAAAAATAAAAATTTAAAATGAAATTTAAAATGGAATTTAAAATGGAATTAAAAATAAAATTAAAAATAAAATTAAGAATTTAAAATAAAATTAAATGAAATTAAAAACAAAATTAAAAATTTAAAATGAAATTTAAAATGAAATTAAAAATAAAATTAAAAATAAAATTGAAAATTAAATTTAAAAAGAAATTTAAAAAGAAAATTAAAAATTTAAAATAAAATTATAAATTCCATAAAAATAAAATTAAAAATAAAATTAAAAAATAAAATTAAAATTAAAAATTTAAAATGAAATTTAAAATGGAATTAAAAATGAAATTAAAAATACAATTAAAAATAAAATTAAGAATTTAAAATGAAATTTTAAATGAAATTAAAAATAAAATGAAAAATAAAATTAAAAATTTAAAATAAAATTAAAGATAAAATTAAAGATAAAATTAAAAATTAAAATTAAAAATTTAAAATAAAGTGAAAAATAAAATTAAAATTAAAATTAAAATTGAAAATAAAATTAAAAATTTAAAATAAAATTAGAAATGAAATTAAAAAGAAAATGAAAAATGAAATGAAAAATAAAATTAAAATTTTAAAATAAAAATAAAAATGGAATTAAAAATAAAATTAAAAATTTAAAATGAAATAAAAAATGAAATAAAAAATGAAATTAAAAATGAAATTAAAAATAAAATTAAAAATTTAAAATGAAATTTAAAATGAAATTAAAAATAAAATTAAAAATAAAATTAAGAATTTAAAATAAAATTAAAATGAAATTAAAAATAAAAGTAAAAATAAAAATAAAATGAAAATTAAAAATAAAATTAAGAATTTAAAATAAAAATAAAAATAAAATTAAAAATAAAATTAAAAGTAAAATTAAGAATTTAAAATGAAATTAAAAATGAAATTAAGAATAAAATTAAGAATAAAATTAAAAAATAAATTTAAAAATAAAATTCAAAATTAAATAAAAAATTTAAAATGAAATTTAAAATGAAATGAAAAATAAAATTAAAATTAAAAATAAAATTAAAAATTTAAAATAAAATTAAAATTAAAAATAAAATTAAAAATAAAATTAAAAATAAAATTAAAAATTTAAAATAAAATTAAAATGAAATTAAAAATAAAATTAAAAATAAAATTAAGAATAAAATTTAAAAGACAATTAAAAATAAAATTAAAAATTTAAAATAAAATTAAAATTAAAAATAAAATTAAAAATAAAATTAAAATTAAAATTAAAAATTTAAAATAAAATTAAAATGAAATTAAAAATAAAATTAAAATTAAAATTAAAAATAAAATAAAATAAAAATGAAAATGAAAATCCAAATGTCATAAAAGCACCGATCAGCTCCCCGATTGCAGCTCACGTTCAGGTACTGGCGGTTGGAGAAGATTTTTCCGCATCCCTCGAAGTCGCACAGGAGGATTTCCCTCTTCGCCGCCTTCCTGCCGAGAGAAATTCGGGATAAAAAGGTTGGGAAAATCTCGGAATTCCTGGAATTTTTCCCGGTTTTTTTGCCCCAAAAGTACCTGATCCTCTTGGGGCCGATCTGAGCCGTGTCTGCGTCGCTCGGCCGCCGGCAGCTGCGAGGGGAAAAATTCATTTTTGAGCGAATTTCAGCTTTTTTTTTTAGCACAAAACATTGAATTTTTGTACGTTGAATTTTGTGTACATTGAATTTTGTGTACGTTGAATTTTGTGTACATTGAATTTTCTGCACGTTTAATTTTTTGTGCATTGAATTTTGTGCACTTTTAATTTTGTGCGCATTGAATTTTTGTAGATTTAATTTTGTGTGCATTGAATTTTGTGTACATTGAATTTTGTGTACATTGAATTTTTGTAGATTTAATTTTGTGTGCATTGAATTTTGTGTACATTGAATTTTGTGTACATTGAATTTTCTGCACATTTAATTTTGCGCGCTTTTAATTTTGTGTGCATTGAATTTTTGTACGTTTAATTTTGTGTACATTGAATTTTGTGCACATTGAATTTTGTGCGCATTGAATTTTGTGCGCATTGAATTTTGTGCACTTTTAATTTTGTGTACATTGAATTTTGTGCACGTTTAATTTTGTGCACTTTTAATTTTGTGCGCATTGGATTTTTGTACATTGAATTTTGTGTACGTTGAATTTTGTGCACTTTTAATTTTGTGCACATTGAATTTTCTGCACGTTTAATTTTGTGTACATTGAATTTTGTGCATTGAATTTTGCGCACTTTTAATTTTGTGTGCATTGGATTTTTGTACGTTGAATTTTGTGTACGTTGAATTTTGTGCACTTTTAATTTTGTGCACATTGAATTTTCTGCACTTTTAATTTTGTGTACATTGAATTTTCTGCACATTTAATTTTGCGCGCTTTTAATTTTGTGTGCATTGAATTTTGTGCACATTGAATTTTTGTACATTGAATTTTGTGCACGTTTAATTTTGTGCGCTTTTAATTTTGTGTGCATTGAATTTTGTGCACTTTTAATTTTGCGTACATTGAATTTTGTGCACTTTTAATTTTGTGCACATTGAATTTTGTGCGCATTGAATTTTGTGTGCGTTTAATTTTGTGTACATTGAATTTTGTGCACTTTTAATTTTATGTACATTGAATTTTCTGCACATTGAATTTTTTGAAAATCCATCTGGATGTGTCGGATCTGAATCCATCCCCCAGCAAAGCCCCGAGGGACCAATTTAATCTTTTTTTTAGCACAAAAAATTGAATTTTT